CTCATGCTGCACAGACATGACCCACAGAAGTCACAGTTACTGCACGTCACTGTTGAGTCTCGGCCTGTGCTTTATGGAGTCACAGTGGTGACAGCTACAGTGAGGGCCGTGACTTCCTAACAGGAGAGTGACTGTTGTGGGCGGATAAATTCTGTGCACTGCACAAGGCATAGACATCACCACTTCAGTCCTTCTTGTGAAAGCTTATGTGGGACTTAACCAGCCTTGTGATTCTGCAGAGGGTTAAATTTCACTGTGTGCAATGGTGACAGGGTGTGTGGGAGGGAACACAAGCAGCTGTTGGGCAGAGAATATGTGATGTTTTTGTGTGCGTTCCTGTGTGTGCCATGTAAGGAAAGGACCCAGATACAATAGAAATCCCTGGACAAAAATGTCTGGCCTGTATTCCGCAGGAGGACAAGCTAGCTGATCAGATTGGTTCTTTTTGAGCATAAAAGATATGGAAGGGATTCGGCTATCTGCTGTGAAACTTGATGCTACATGAAACCATGTGCTGGCTGGGGCATCAGAATGCCAGCACGGGCACTACTCACAAGTCTCAGCACAGTTCTGCCTGATGGCAGAGCTGCTGTCATGTATCTGTCTTGAGGAGTTTTGTTACCCTTGGGTCCAGCTAAGCTCTTGTCCAGGCTGTGATCAGGACAGAAGAATAGTGATTGAAAGTCACCTTCCTCCTCATTTCCCTGGGCCTTGAGGACCACGCATATTGGAGACACATCTTGGAATCCTCCTCACCATCACCCTGTACATACGCTGCTGGTTTCACACGGTTGTTTTTCTAAATCCATGCAACGTTTTGAGGAGAGACGATAGAAGATCACGGGAGATGTCGTCTTCCCAAGGACTCTAACTTATAGAAAGGGAACGCTGGCAGGAAGTGTTCAAGCCATAGCACCCATGAGATACCAGAGGGGATGGGCATTTGGAGACCCCAGCAGAGCAGCAGCCAGGGGCAGCAGCAGTGAGAGGCACATTGAATAAGCATGACTTAAGTTTTGCCCTGAAACGTTTTGGATTTTAAGCAACTGCCAAAATTGGATGGGGAAACTTTAATTGAAACAGACTCTGTAAACTCCCTTTTCCCCAGGTTTCCAGCCACCTCGTCTTTGAATTCACACCTGATCTCCTCTACTGTGGCAGCCACAAAGCCCTCCATAACCTTTGGGCCTCTCTCTCTGGATCAGTCATTGTCTTTATTTTCTCTTCTTCCTACATTAGCTTGAGCTCCTTACTCAGCTAATGGGGTGAGCCTACGGCACTTGCCCCAGCCTGGGGATAGGATCAGGGACAGCAGTGTTGTTTCATAGTTAAAACAGGCACTCATGACAGGGCACCTCGGGTGAAAAGAAATACGTAGCTGAAAGACAACAAAACAAAGCACAATCTCATTAGACTATTTGTGAACGGAGGTCTGCCAGGGAGAAAAAGCCTTGCCTTGATTAATATTCAGCTGTGGTGGAATATCCAAATCGTTCTTCCTCAGCAAAGTTTGCCCTCCAAGTCAGCTGTGCCAGGAATCCCAAAATAGCACGGATTTCAGTCTTATTTCTTCTTTTTCATTTGAGCCTGAAAACATAATTTTTTGGCATTTTGACCTTCAAGTTGTACCTCCAGAATAACGAGCCCCCGGTACTTTTTTAGCAGGGTCCATTAGCAAATCTTCAGCATGACCCTGCCTTTCTCCGGACTATGAATGAGGGCATCTCCCAGTGCTTTTTGGGAACAGTCCACAAAGGTCTGTAGTGTTCGAGTCTATTGAGCCCTTGGCCTCTGCCTGAATGAGTCAGACTGTGGTGAGGTTTAATGATGCAGCAGAGGCAGCGGATGACAGATGATATCCTTTCATCACATTGCAGATGATGGAGCTGCTACAAGCGGTCCTTTGGGGATGTCATTAACCATTATATTGCCAGTCCTTCCTATGGGGGAATGAGTGCAGCTTGGGATGGTCAGGGCCATGTCAGGGCTAAAGGCCTATTGAGCAAAAAGTTGTACTTCTATATAAGACAAAAACAGTCCCTGTCTCAAAAAGCTCACAGTACAAGCACAGGAAGAGGCCAACAGATGGATGCACCTTGGGTGGGCAGTGGTCAGTGTAGGGCAACAGTGAGATAAATAGGATGCATGTAGCAAGAAGCACGTAACATATACCAGCAACCTTGCCAGCTTTGTGGGCACTGGGGCACAGGTGAGTTTTCTGGTTGCTGGTTCTCTATAAAATACATTTTCCCCCCCTCACTCTCTCATACCTTTAAAAATAGTATTTGGCACAGAGATGGGTCTGACCATTTGGATATTGTAAGGGCTGGGTGCATCTACACATGCACTTAACTGAGCAGTGGACAAATTTGCAGTGGTGTAAAGCATCACAGTCTACACATGCAACGCTATTAGACTGAAGCAAACTAGATTCCACCGCTATCAGATAATACTGGCGGGGACATTACTATCTTATGGTAGCAAAAATAACTGCACCTAAACGCACGTGTAAAGGCTGACTCAGGAGTAAATTGCGCCCAGTCAGCCCAGGCAGCAGGAGGCCAGACCCCTGCCTGCTGCCTAGCCACATGACTGTTCTCGTGCCCCAGCCAACCCCTCCACCGCCTGATGCTGTGACCTGAAGCCTGGGGCTTCTACTAGCCCAGGGATGCTCCACCCCAGCTCAGACTGCTGCAGTCCTGGATGCACATATAGACACTACTCCTGCCAGAATTTATCACATCGCCTTCATGGCACAGGTGGATGCACCCACTGAGTGCAAAGATTTTTACCTCACACAGTTCTTTTCATGCAGGGACTCAATGTTTTTTTGAATCACATCATCTTATGAGGTAGTATTATATCTATCTAGCAGATAGAGAAAGTAAGGCACAGAGTGGCAATGCGTCTTGCTTGAAGTCAGCACAGGAAGAAAGAATATAATCCAAATCTGACTGTGACAACAGTGTCAGATCTCTTGAGATCTACTGCTGCCCAGGTAAATGTCTCAAACCTGGATTACCATCTGTGGACACAAAGGATTTGAAATATTTCTCCATCGCTTTTGTGGCATACACACCTAATGATTTCCTTTCCCCGTGTACCACACCCTTTAAACTCCAGAGTGTGCAGCTTGCTAGAAAGATTTGGGTGTCCAAATCAGATGTGACATGTTACAAGGACACCACATACACTGTGCTCTTCCCGATGAAGACTTGTGTCGTAGTCACTTAATCTACCACAATAGCTGCTTCAACCAAAAGTAGGTGATGGCATTCGATGCCTGGAAGAAAATGTCTGGTATGTCAACTCCAGCAGTTCCTGAAATCTGATGCTTCAGAATAAGGTGTAAGCCCCCTATACCTAAATGAAAGGTTATGTTATTCATTATTCTGTTTTATTTGCAAAATGATTCTACTAGCTTTTAGGCCTGCATGAAGTGGCTAGTATTAGCTTTAGATTTGGCTGGTTCAGGGTACAGTGATTCAATTCGGTGATTCAAATCACTGTCCTGAATCGATTCAGCCGAATCTGATTCGGAGATTTGGCTGCTGCCGAATCTCCAAATCAGCCAGGCCCATCCCCTGCCTGATCTCCCAGGGCGGCAATGCCTGTCCTGCCCACCCCAGCTCCCGGCACTTGGGGAAAAAAAGCCCTGGCTCAGCGGGTGCTGCCAGGCAGGGGGGTGATCCCTGCTGCCCCCCACTGCTCCATGCTGCATGGAGGGCTCTGCATGTCCCAACCCCCACATTGCTGCCCTGCCCACCCCAGCTCTGGCCCTTTAAGGGAAAAAAAAAAGAGAAAAACCCTGCACTCACCGGTCCTGCTGGTAGGAGGCAAACCCCGCTGGCCCCTGCTGCCCTGCGCCACATGGGGGGCTCTGCACAAGCACCCCAAAGCCCCGAGGCCGCTGCAGGAGCCAGTGAGTCCTGGGGCTTTTCCCACCCCCTACTCACCAGTTCTGAGTCCAGCTCCAGCTCCCTGCTGCAGCCACTGAGGACTGCCCGAAGCATCAAAGCTCTCCAAATCTTTTCCGAAGATTTGGAGAGCTTCAAATTGCTTTGGACCTTTCTATTGGTCCCGATTCGATTCAGATTTGGAGATTCAGCCACCAAATCAGGCCAAATCTCCTTTGAATTGAATCAGCACCTGAAGCTTCGCACAGCCCTACCAGCTTTGACACAATAGCAACGTTCACAGTTAATATTATCGTCAGTGCAGAGAAGCAGGTAAGATTTACATGTGCAAAACCCCTGATGCTTGTTACCTGGGAAGCCCCTTCCCTCTGCTTCTTAACCTGCTTGTTTTATGTTCACTTTGTTTTTGCTATCAGCTGAAAGCACTCCAGGGTAAAGACTCCTCAGGGACCTCTGATAGTTACTACCCCAAACACAACATCTATATTTGTTGCCAAGATGATGACTAACAACATAAAAAATGAAACACAGAGCTCTTTGTAACAGGACACGGACAGACTGAGGCAAAGCTATACAAGCCCATGGGGGCGGGGGAAGGAAAAAATATGCCTTTTTCCGCTGCTTGTTGCATCCAGAACATGCCACTTTAATCAGCAGAAAACAGGAGCAATTTTATATCCTAGCCCGACTGCAGCAATGAGGCAAATAAACCTGGTCAGACTGAGCGTGGGACTGTTGAGGTCTTAATACATGGAAGAAATTACAGTTCAGGACCACATGATTTCTCTACTCGCTGTCAAGATTATCTAAGTTCTGTGGAGTGCAAAAGTCTTCGGGATGACCTTTCCCAGGCAGAAGCGAGATTTGAGAATGAAAAGCCTATTACTGAGCATAAACCAATTTGTTTTGTAAGTGGAAGTGGCAATTTTCCTCCTTAAATACATTACAGTGGAAAGTAAATGGCTATAAACAGAAAGTTGTTCTCTCACTTGTTCCAGAGAACTCTCCCAGTGCTGTTCATGAGAAACGATCTTGAAAATCCCATCAAGGGACATCAGCAGGGTAGGACACTGACTTGGTGGCGGCGCGTGGTGACTTCTATGCACAGTTTCCGTATCTGAGGTGGGATATTAAAAGAAGGGGGGGGAATGATGAATTGCTTTTTAAAAATTCCTTGAACAGCAGGCTTAAAGGGAACTGAATAAATGAACAGTCCTTAGGTACGCTGGAAAAACAAAGGTAACTTTCAAAGCATCTGGTAGGGGTTTAGACATCCAGACCCTGTGATTAGCCAGTGAGGCCAATGCTTTAATCCAGTGGTGTCAAATGCCCTTGTTCTGCTCCCTGGATCCAGACTGTGGGGGGCCTTGTCGGCTAGATGTGGACCTGCCTGCAAGGTGGTGTCCAGCAGGGACAGCACAGTTGTACAAAGGGACTACAATGACCCTCCAACTCCATGGCAGCCAGCAGAGCTGCGCCAGTGCAAGGAAGTGGAAAGTGCTTCAAGCCATCGTACTTGCCTTGCACACAATCCTGGCAGGAGAAACCACAGTGGTCTCCTGTGCCAGTCTTAATTTATATCCCCTGCTTTCTTCATGCAATGATTTGAGCCACATACTTGCCCTAGAAGAGACGGTTACCGCTGGCTGGCTGGTAATGGTGGTAACATTTATTACAAGCCACCCTTAATATTTCTGTGCATTGCTTCATGAAAAGAAACCCAGACACACTGTGGATTCTCCCCTTTCTGGTTTAAATCCCTTAATTATAATCATCTTTTTAAGAAACATGGAATTTTCTGTTCTGAATCCACCCAATGGTCCACCTAGTTCAGCATCCTGCTTATAGTACATTATCTCCAGATAACTTAACAAAAGGCATAGTAATATAATATACCTCTGAGGATATAATCCTTTTCATCTATTATTTTGGTTTGACATTTCTGTTCATTAGGAACACATGGTATACAGGCACTGTACATCTTCATTGGGAACCCACCGTTTCTATTAAATGTAATTATTTCTCCCTGCGGCTTGCATGCTAAAGATGGTTACAAAATAGCAAGTGGCTTCTGCAGGAAGGTATATCAAGTCTCTCACTTATTATAAATAATTTGTATTACAATAGCACCTAGAGACTTTATTTGAGATCAGATTAATAGATTATAAAGCCAGAAGGGAACACTGTGATCATCTAGGCTGACCTCCTGCATAATGCAGGCCATGGGAGTTCCCCAAATTAATTTCTGTCTGCAGTACAGCCCATCCTTTAGAAAAACACCCAGCATAACTCAAAGATTGCCAATGAAGGAGAATCACCTACAACTCATGGTAAATTGTTCCAACAATTAATTACCCTCACTCTGTCTTACTTTCTAGGCTAAATTTGCCTAGCTTACATTTTTGAACAATGGATATTTTTATGCCTTTGTCTTCCAGGCTGAAGAATGTTATTAAATTTTATTCCTTTTTTAGCTACCTATAGACTGTGATCAAGTCCCCTCTTCCCCTCCTCTTTGGATTTTGTTGCACTAAGCATGGCCCAAACATAAAACAAAGAAGAGAATCCATATCTAGGGCTGGTCAGAAATAATGTGTTGGAACAGTTTTCCTTTAGAAAATGTCATTTTGTTTAAACCATTTTTTGTGAAATATTTATTCTACCAAAATTCTGTTGAGATAAAAATGGGGTGGGGACGACACTTGCAATTGTCAGTATGGTCCATCTTGGCATTTTCAGAATTCACTGAAAGCAAAACTTTTGACTGAGTTGAAATTAATCTTGTGATTTTTTTTTCTTTTTGAAAAATATTTTCACCTTTTTGCCTTTATCTGAAATCCCCATTTTTTCATGGCATTAGGAAACCACTCAAGCGTTTTTGTCCTCTACTCTTAATGCCTGGCTACAATGATAAAACTACAGAATCAGATTCTTAACCAATGTTAACTGCAATCACTTCACTGAAGTCAGTGAAGTGGTACTGATTTACAAAGCTGAGAAACTGGCCTATAATGAACAACCAGACTGTAGCTAGTAGATATTAGAGGTGGTCTTGGGTGCAAGGGCTTCTGATAACTCTTGTTTCACCCCATTAGAAATCCCAGATTCACAAAGCTTAAACATGTCTGCGCTGGTTGAATATGGTTATTCAACAGTAACTGTATGTAATCAAACTTAGCTTAAACTGGAGACTTCATGAATATTCCACAGACTGACATTTTGTTATAATATTTGTGTGCTTTTTAGACACTGCAAACAATGCCAGCCATGAGGCCAGCTGATAAATGCTTTGCAAAATCAGGACTCCCAGCCCCACCCAGAAATGTGATATATTGCAAATATTAATTGCTAGAATTAAATGCATTTATAGCGGTGTTTCTCAGCTACTTCCATACTGGAGTTCCTTTTTCTATATCATAATACTACGGATGCTTCCCCAATTCCCACCCAGTTTGTGACACACAACTTCAGTTAGTCTATCAGGTGCAGTTCTGCCCTGCCTTCTGCCACTAGGTATTGCAGTCCCCCATGCTGGAAATGATCTTGACCATCAAGACCACAACACACCAACCCTATTACACACAGACATTTCAAAGCCGCTTTCATATTGTTTTTAGCATGAAGTCCTTAGCTGGTGCAAATTAACTTCAGTGGAGTGAAGCCAATTTATACAAGCAAAAGATCTGGCCCATAATTTTTAATGGACTCACGAAATAAAAGGCATCATTAACCCTATTCATCCACGTAGTCACAGCCTGATTTTAATTAACCCCTTCTGCCCCTCAAACAAAAGTTTCAGGCAGTATGAAAAACATGGAAAACATCATAAAAAAGCAAAAGAGTTGTTTATTAGCTCACAATCTCACAGTCTGGAGCTTCGCGAGAAGGGACTGGATTCCCTACAGCAGGGGCAGTCAAGTATTTCGGGTAGGGGGCCGCTTAACAAGTTTTGGCAAGCTGTCAAGAGCCACAAGGGTAGCTCCACCCCTTGGCTGCTGTCCTGTCCCCTGGTTGCCGTCTTGGGACCAGAAGTCCCACCCCCTAACTCCTGACCTTTGCCACTAAAAGTCCTCCCCCCATGCTCCCAGGAGCACTCCTTTTGGGAAGGGGGTATGCCATCTTGGAACCAGAAAAAAACACCAAACAAATCATATACTTAAAAATCAAACATTGACAATAGAATATTTTAATTTTATTTTAAAACATATTTTTGTCCTAATTTATGTATGTTTTGTTGTGTATATAGAGGTGATTGCATAATAGTTCGAAATAAAGTCTTACTCTTGTACATTGTGGGGGGGGTAGAGGGATGGAGGGTAAGGGTGGGTGGGTATGGTGTTTGTAGGAGGCTGTAGGTGTGTGTGTGGATGTGTGTGTATGTGGGGGGTGAGTGGATACGGGTGGGTGGATATGGAGGTTTGTAGGGGGTATTTCTGGGGATGTACGGCTGTGTGTGGGTGTGTATGGGGTTTGTGGGGGGAAGTGGGGTGTGTGGAGGGGGAGGGTGGCTGGCGGTGTGCATGGGGGCATGTAGGGGGTGTGGTTGTATGTGTGTGTGGTAGGGTGTGTGCGTGTAACAGTGCATAGGGCTCCCCCTAGAAGCACGTGTGTGTGTGTGTGTGGGGGGGAAGGGTGTGGAAGGGCACAGTGTTTGTGGGATGTGTGATTGTGTATGGGGGAGGATGTGGTTCCAGGGTTTGCAGGTATGGTGGGGTGTGCACGGGACTCGCCCACATACACCCCCTGAGCTGGTCAGCTCCCACCCTGCAATAGCCCAGAGCCCATGAACCCTGCAGTGCCTCCCCACCACCGCCAGGCATGCACAGCCCCAGCATGCCCTGGACTCACCCCCGTCAGAGCGGATCAGTTGAGACCCAGGCACAGGCCAGACCCAGCCTGCTCCGCATCGCCCACCCATGACATGTCCTGCCGCCCCCTGGGCACACAGCAGGGCTGGGGTGGCTCCACAGCTGGACGGCCTTTCTAGGCAGCCCAGGTGACAACAGTTCCTTCTGCTGCCACCGACAGCCCCAACCCTGTGGTACTGGTGGGGACCCGTACAAAACAGCTCTAGCCACCCAGAGCCCATGCTGGGCTGCCCTGCACCTATGCTGCATCACCGCTGCCTCTGGACTGCCCAGAGCAGGCACAGAGCAGCCCCACGCAGGCTCTGAGCGGTGGCACCAAGAAGTGCTGGTAGTGGCGAGGGGGAGGGGCTGCTTTATCCCACGCTGAGCAACAGCTTTGGTCCCACACTACCACTGCTAAGCCCAGAGCAGGCACAGGGTGTGCAAGGCTGGAGCTGTGCAGCGCAGGTCCCTGCCAATACTGTGGGGCTGGGTTTGGTGGCAGCAGCAGCCAGAAGGACCCACCTGCACCTGGGCTGCCTAGAAAGGCAGTCCCACTGCAGAGCCGCCCCAGCTGTGCTGCGTGCCCAGGGGGTAGCAGGACACAACACAGCCGGATGGTGCCTGGGTCAGGAGGAACTGAGGACCCCTCGCAGGCCAGACAAAGACCTGCTGCGGGCCAGATCTGGCCCGTGGGCTGTATTTTATCCACCCCTGCTTTACAGCCATAGTTTACAATGGATGAGATGCATAAGTGGCCATATTCTTAGTGGAAGTGGCCATCAGAGGAATCCCCCCTTGTAGGGGAACCCTTGATATTAAGTATTTATATTATTATTTATTCTTTGCCTTGGCTTAGCACCTTGGAGCGCTAGGTATGAATCAGGGCATTAGGATAAGTGTCATCTTAACATCCTTGCAGTAGCTGCTTTCACATGTTTTGCCTATTGTAGGTGCTGACAGACATGCAGCTCCCACTGTAACTCATGGTACTTCACAGGAAACAAAGACATTTGCTGTTGGGTCCCGGGGGATGGGGGAATCAAGCCAAAGTTTAGTGAGTCTCCGACTGCACTCCCAGCTCTGGTGCTGTCTTCAGAATGGGAGGGGAAGAAAGGAGCGGAGGGAGTTTGGTTTGGGGTTTGCCCGGTCTGTGCTGGGGGCAGGTGGATCGGAGCCCTCCTACCTTGGCAGGGCTCCAATCCACCCGCCCCATCCTCCAGTGGAGACTGAGCAAACCCCAGAGGGAACTCCCTTCCCTCCCTTCTTC